TCCCCTGATCCCGTGAGTTGCGATGTGGTCCCAGGGACAGATGGGATCTCTCCCCACCCAGCCCTCAGGTCCCATCCTGTTTCCTGAGCAGGTTGTTTCCAAGAGCCAGGTTCCTTAGCACCCTTGGTGAGTCACTGTCTCTGCAATTGTGTTGGTAGCATGGTGGGCTCCTGGAGAAGCCCCTCTTCTCAAAGTTCTCCTCCCAGCTCTGGTGCAGCTTTCTGAAAACAGAGCAGAAGTGGCTCCCTGGCTCGTGCTAGAGGGGCCATGAGGGCCAGCATGAGATTGCAAATCACAGACAGGAGGTTTCCCTGTCTACTTCTATGTATTGAGAAGGTGTGCGGAAGAAGCCAGCTCTGGCTAACTTAGAGAGAGAAGCCATTTGCTGCGTGGCTGACAGAATGTAAAGAATTTTTTTAAAATCAGGTCTTTAGAAGACAGAATTCAGGGCAGTTTGCAAGGAGCCGAAAATAATGGGAGTCTGCTATCTAAAGTGCATGCCTAGTGTCCCTCAAGAGTCAAGCTCCTGCTGACCAGACTCGGGCTGTGGTCCCACTCCGAAGGAAGAGACTTGGACTGACAGGACACCAGGACTTTCACAGAATGAAGGAGGGGGACTAATGCCCTCTGAGAGAAAGTAGGGCATCTTTTCCTTCCAGAAGGGTGCAGGGATGCTGGGGAGGCACCAGGGTCCTTCAGCTCTGATTACATCTTCAGTTAGGGTGCTTCATGTTCTTATTTTTATTATTTAAAAGGCTTGCTATTCAAGCAAAACAAGAAAGTACATTTTTCATTTTTTCGATACAGTTAGACAAATCTGATTTGGAACTGAAATGATACGAAGGAATTTGTTAATTCTGCAAGGTGTAGAATGACACTGCGACTATGAAGAAAAATGTAAACTTTTTTAGGTGTGTCCTGGATCCTATGGGAATAAAATGTCATTGTAGTTGGGATTTGTGTTGTAATATTTTCTCAAAAGAGTTAAAAAAAAAAAAAAAAAAAGGAAGGAGGCAGGGATGTAGCTCAGGGGAGAAGAGAGCACTTGCCTAGTGTGTTTGAGGCTCTGAGTTCACACCCTAGTACCTTAGCAATGACCAAAACCAGAGTGAGTGAAACAAATAAGCCCAAAAACCATTGCTTATTTTTCTTCATTCATGGACAGCATATGCCCTGTCTGGGTGCCCTGAGGGGTAGTTTGGGGTGATTCTGCTAGGGCTAGTGTCTAGGGCTCACCCTCTCCAGCCATGTTTATTCCGCGTCTGTGCAATCTTTCAGCTGGTGCCAGGCCTCTGTTTCCCCTTACTCTTGTTCGTGGGATTGAACATGCCTGAGCAGCAGCTGCTTGGGGACCTCTGTAACTGGCCTCTCCTCTGGGCACCGTGGCTGCCATCAGCTGTTTCCCAGGCTGCCTCCCATGCAGCAGTGAGGAAGCCATCTGGGGAGGTTGCCCCAGTTTAAATTCAAATTCACTCCCTGCCTATGCAATTAGAATTTATTTCCCCTGCAAAAGGCTTGCCATCTTAGAGCAAAAAACCTCTAGCTGAGTTTGGGTGTGTGTAGGGTGATCCTAATGGAGGAAAACTCTGGTTTATTTTCGTAACAGCATGTACCTTGTGATGTCTTCAGAGCCTGACATTATTAAGAGTGTGTTACCACAATGCAGCTTGAAATCTAAGGCAATTTGGATGTCCTTGGGCCCAGAATTAATATGTGCTTTGTATAGTCTTGTAATTTGGGAGGCAATTTTCCATAACACAGTGAGATGTTCCTTTATACATTTGAGATAATTTAGCTCAATGTTCATTTGGAAAAATTACTGTGCTAATAGCAGCTCTTCAAGCCTCAGAACAACAGACCATATTGGGAGAGTCTGGACAAAGGCTGGAGGAATTTTCCCCAGACCAACAGCTGCCTTAGGCTGCATGGCAGGACCTGAAATATTGTATGAACTCATGAACTCTAGCTGATTTGCTTAAAACCAATAGCTCTTAATGGAGGAATATGAAATAAAGGTGGAGGAGTAATGAATTTCCCTATTGTCCAGGTAAATTGAATGTCAGTGCACATAAATTAGGACTTCTGTATGCTCAGCTATGGGAACCATTTGTTCTTCTGGCCAGACTTTTCTGTCCAGGCTTGAGGGAATAGATACAGATGAGGGAGAATGAACTGTATTTTTCTGTTGGGTGTGTTTTGCTTCATGCTTCCTGGGTATTATGTATCAGAGAAGTTTTGTTATACTGGGGGAGGAATCCTCTACCTTAATCAGAATTTAATACAATAAAAGAAATTTAAAACTTTTATCTTCCCAAATTGGGAATGTGATTTCTAGTGATAGAAAAAGTCCTAGGGAAGAACCTGTGTAGGAACCAGCCTATAAGCTGAGCTCAAACCTGACCAAGGGATGACGAAGATGAAAAATAAAGAGATACAGAAATAAGTTAAAATCTGGGAGGCCAGGTTGCTCGTGTCTGTTTGACATAGAGCCCCAAATGACTGGCACATCTTGGCTTTATTCACTCAGACACCGGCACAAGCAGAGTTCCACAGGACTCATCTGTCTCCCATCCTCCACGGTACTTCTCCAGGTAAATAACAACCTCAGGAGTTTTTACTTCTCCCTGAAGCATGTTAGCACACTTGCCTGCCCTCTTTCTCCTCAGTGCTCACCAGGGAGGCCAATTAGGCCTCATTCTTCCCATCTGATCTCCACAAACCTGGTAGACCCAAGTTCATTCCTAGCTGTATTCCTGGCCCAAGGCATCTGCTTCCTAAGGTGATTCAGAATCAGGTTGGTGCTGCTGTGGGTATTTCCCTCACAGTAAGTGTTGTGGGTCTGGAGGGATCACATCTTTGGTCAGAGACTCTGAACTCTGTGTTGGAGTACTCCATCAATGAGAAATACTTGTTAAGTTACTGGCTTCATAAAGGGAAGAGGAGGTAAGAACTCCTGTCTTTGTAAGTTTCCATTTACCTGTAAGTGGCAGTTGAAATTAAAAACCATCAGTTCAACAGGTGCCTGGGTTTGGAGTGACTCTGGTTCATCTTAAAGCCTGGTTCTTTTCTGGAACTAAGGAGAATCTGGATCCAGGTCAAGATTTCTTGAATGTTCTGAGGCTTTGTGGGCAAAAGGCATCTGGTGATTTTCTGTTTTAAATACCACCATCCACAGTGGTGAGGTTCATGTTCACACAAAGGCCTGAACAAGGAGCAAACTAGCATGCGTGCATCCAAGGACAGATCACAGCATAACCAGAAGGAGTGAAAAAATGCAGAGTCTGAGGCCCCCTTTGTTAGACCAGCTTAGTCACCTGCAGCTATAGCACTTCTATTCACCAGGTTCTCTGGAGATGGTTTATAGGTAGAAGCTAACCCCACCCTGGAAGAAAATAAAGGGAGTGTGACGGTAGGGTTTTATGAAAATGATTGCAGTCTGTGAGCAGCAGGTTCCAAAGTACTGTCTGCTACTGGGAGAAATGGAGGCATTTCACTTCCCCACATCCCTTTGAAACTGTCTTGTAGCTGTCCACTAATGTGCCAAGCCAGTGTTTGCTTTGAGGCAACTTCTTCATTTGGTGATCCTTAATTTTAGGACTACAAAGGAATCACCTAGGAAGCTTTTTCTTGTTTTTGTTTTGTTTGTTTTTGGTGGTGGTGGTGCCGGGGATAGAATCCATGGCCTACACATGCCGGGCAAGCACTCCACTGCTGAGCTACATCCCAGTCCACATCCAGACAGCTCTTAAAAATACAGTACTCAGGCCCCATCCAGAGAGATTCTGATTTGAGTGTTTGTGAGAAGACCTGACATTTGACTCTTATTTTTGTGTTTCTAATATAGGAACCACTGATTTAAGCCATCTTTTGAGCCACCATCAAAGGACAGAACAGGAAGACAATTAAGGGAGATCCAAATCACCATGTTCTGAGGGTGGGGAACAATGAACAAGGTGTTGTCTCCTTCCGTCCTCTGACATTATCTTAGCATAGCTTGGTTTTGATGGTACCCAAACTTGCTGGAGTTATCCAGCCATTCTAGTTTCCTACACTGGAGGCAAAGCTGACCTGTCCTGTGAATCAGTTCAGACTGGGCTCTGATTACATCGTATGTCTAGCTGGCGCAGTGAAACATTAACTCATTCCTTTTTATCATGGACCAGGGCAGGTTTCATGTGAGGATGAAGTCCAGTTATTCCATGGCTCCAGTGGGTGTGAGGCCTAGCTGGTTTCCTGAGGGTGGGGTAGGAGAGGCTGGGCATGACCCAGCTTGGGTGTGTCGTAGGGAGCAAGGCTCAGGGTTCACCTTTGGTAAATGTTTACCAGAAGTGCCTGTTCTAGTCTCTCTTCAATGTCTTTCTTGGGAAAGTGAGTTTAAATGGTGCTTTAGAAAGGTTTGAAGTAGACAGTTGTTCGCCTTATGTCCTTTTTGGTGGAAGGGCAGGGCTAGCCCATGCAGGAAATAGTTGTACAAATTTCCAATCACTTCTCAACCCCCAGAGGGCTGCTATGTGGAGCATAAAGACTTACTCATTACTTTTCACTCTACTCCTTCTTCACTCCCACAATATAGTCCTTAGGGATGCCCCGGGCCTTTGCCTTGTGCTGACTGCTTGGGACTTGTCCGCCTACTTTGGAGACTGTGGGAGAGGGGAGATGAAAGCTGAGCTTTGCTAGGAGATTCAAGGCCTCTCTGGCTGGCTCACAACTGAAAGTGATCATGCTTTGATTCAGCAAATGAGGCTCATGACAATACAGGTGCATATTGGTTACATTGTATTTTTCATAAACATGGGAGGAGCTATGAGAATACTGTAGGTTTATGAATTTAGAAAAAAAGTCCATCTACAAAGTTAATATGAAGAGATGTTTTAAAATACTAGTAGCTTAATTGCAGTAGACCTCAAATATGATCTTTGAATTAATATCCAGTGCTCAACTGGCCCTTCACCACCCCCTCAAAACTGGTATTTTAAAGAAGTTATTATGAGATGAGAAGGTACTTTCTGCATTGTTTATTGAGACAGATAACTTCACACAGTAGGAATGGGTACACTTAAATTATGTGACAGATGATCATAAAGACTAGAGGTCTGGTCAACAACACAATTTCATTTTATATTATTATAGATACTGATATTTTTAAATTTATGTAAACAAAAATATGGATAAATTATGCCAAAAAGGCAATAAAATCCAGAAAACGGAAAACAAAAGTACATAAGTTAGCATAAAAGCTATTATGAATAGTGTAACACAGAGTGATGTAAGAACCCAAATCCAAAATTTTAGTCAATTCTTTACCGCATGAGCAGAAGTAAGAAATATGACTGGGATCTGACCCAGAGCCTGAGAACAAGTTATACAGAAATCTTCAGCATGTTCACCCTCTTCATTTGCAACCTGGGCATTTCCCCTCCTTTACCATTCCTTAGAAGTAGCTTTCCCCCTTAAACCTTCTCTGGTAGGCTAATGGCGATTCCCAGTCAGACCCTCATATGATACCTGGAGCCAGACCATGGGGCTCTGACAGCAAAAGCCCAGCCTCATAGCCCAGCAGACTGCCCTGCCACACAAAGGGACATTTTCATGAAACTTTATCCTAGAACCTTCCCACTTTCAATTAGAAAAAAAAGGTGGCAAAACTGAAAAAACATCTTTATACAGTAAGGGAAAAGAAAATTCTTATTTTTTGTTGTTTTTTGAACCTGAAAAATGCTGAGTTCATTGAATTTTCTGATTTAATTCTGGATAGCTGGTTTTATTTCTCTCCTAGTTGGGCTTGGTGACATCATGACATTCCCCTGAGTTTGGTTAATGAAAGTAAGCAAGTAAAAACAGTGATTAAGAAACAGCATAACACAAAGTTAAAACATTGTCTGGTCATATCTTCTGTACCATGTATGATTGAAATATATAGTGAATGTTTAAATTTTAAAAATTGATTACCGTAAAAGATACATTGCCAAGCTGGGCATGGTGGCACATGCTTATAATCCTAGCACTTGGGAGGATGAGGCAGGAGGATTGCCACGAGTTCAAGGCCAGCCTGGGTACATAATGAGTTCAAGGCCAGCCTGAACTACATAGCGAGACCCTGCCTCAAAACAAAACCCCCGAAGAAACCATTGCCAGTTATCCTCATAATACTCCCCCTCACTTTGAACACACTTATTCCATCCTTCTTGCTACTTTCTGAAGCAATTCTGGATGTTTCCCCTTTGCATTTTTTATGAGGTATGATCAAAACCACGGTGCGTGCTGCTACCAAGTACTATCCAATAGAAAGGCAGGCTTGTGAAAACATCATGGTGTATCTTCATCCTCATTATTCATAGGATCTGGTACCATGTGACTTCTAGCTCTTCCCCAAAGTCAAGATGACCATGAAAGGTAAATGTTTCAAGTCAATTCAGGAAACAGAGGCAGCCACATGGTACAACTAAAGACACTCAGGAAAAGAACTTTCAGGACAGCTTCAGAAAACAGCAAGAATGGTGGGATAAATGTGTTCAAAGTGAGGGGGGAGTATTTTGAGGGGGGTTACTGACATTGTGTCTCTTACTATAATAAATTTTTAAAAATTAAACATTCACTATTTTTTGATAACACAGTCGGATTTCCTGGTAAAGATGCCAATGGCAATAAGAAGCCAATGTTTGAACCACTCTGACTTTAATAATGTGTTTCCGGCATGAATCCCTTTACTCATGAGGTTAAGGCACCAGGTTAAGCAAAGGTGGAAGTTTGGCTGTGTCATGGAGTATGTAGGCTCCAGGTGCATCTGGATGAGGAGTAGACAGGAAAGAAGAAGGAAGGGATTTGTATTTAGTTGAAGGGTCCTGCAGGCTTCCAGTGGGTCTGAGAGACTAGACAGAAGCACTAGACAGTACTATAAGGCACTCCTACAGGAAAAAGAAACAAATGGAGGAGGAGCCTTAAGCCCAGTTGTCCACTAGGTGTTTTGTTAGCCATAAGGCCTGAATCTGGGCAAGGCCTGAATCTGGGCCAGGCCTAGGAGCAAAGAGGATCCAGGGAGAGGGCTGGTTTCCTCACATGGAAGCGTTGCACTAGTGCCTGAATCTTCTACCTGGACTAGCAACTGGCTTCACTCAAGAGCTTCCCAAGAAGATGAGCAGCGAGGGGCTTCTGTTCCTCACGGAAGGACCAATGCAAAACAGCAGTTTTCTCATTTAACAATGCCTTCAGTCACATCAGAGGCCACTTTACGAGGAAAATGCCATACATCATGATCATTTGGAACCCATTTAAATAAAACTTCTGAAAACTCCAGCTATGCTTAGGAGGGTATTCCAGTTTTCTTTTGACTTTTACCTATACATTAACAATAACTTAGATCTTACCTCAGCCATAAACCCACTAAAACATACCAGAGAAAAACTCTTGAGTCAGAGATTTTTGAATCCAGTAACGTGAGACTTGTCTACTGATAAGGCTTCTGGGTGCTGAGATTTAACTGTCAAAACACTGTCCTACATGAAAGAGATCAACATTTGTCTGTTCAAATTAACTGAGCAGGGCTTATTCACTCACTGCCGGATTCGACCTGGAGCACCTGGTTGTACTCATTCAGTGTCAGAAGAGTGCACAAGGGAGGGTATCCGAAGCGCCTAGTGCCCATTACTGACTAGGACAGCAGGAAGAGAAGGAAGGTGGAGAGAATCCCTAACAACTCCATGCATGCCAAGGAGAGAAGTGTTTGGTTCTTTCAGTCCTGTCCACATGCTGTTCTTTTCCGCATTATTTCAGTGTAGCAAAAAAGTAGAGAAGAAAACTCAAACAAAAAAGGGGAGAAACTGCACACATCTCTATTTACTGTTAGAGGTTAAGAAATAAAATGAAATAATGGCTAGATTGGATAAAGAATAAAGAGCTGATGGTTTATTTCATAATCTAGTTATTTCAATAGGGCTTGGCAAGTCAATAGAGAAGACTTAATTCTGCACACAGATGAGCAGCAGTGGCAGCTCTACCCTGATGTGGGAGCAGAATGTGTCTCCACTTCTCTGGATAACACCCGTCTGAGTAGGTGTTTGGTGTGCATGGCGTCAAGCCAGCCCCACCCTGATGATTACTTGATGGATGGCCTTTTTTGCAGATGGATAGAAAACTGCAAGTCTGGAAGCCAAACTCTTTCAGGAGGCACAAAAAGAAACTGTCGTTAATATTCAGGGTGTGCACATGACACATGATGGCCAGATGTCCTCAGCGAGGGCTGCACCCGGCAAGTAGGGTGGTATAGACACCTTGGTCCTTACAGTGTCTAAGGGAATTCCTAGCACAGCTCCGTTTCAGGTGTCTGAAGGCTACCACTGTGCTGGAAAACCCAAGTCCCAAGTCCTACGCCATGCTCTGGTGGTCGCTTCATCTAGAAGAATCAAGAAGTGATTACCCACTCAGCTCATCAAATGTTTAAGCTCCCCACAGGATGAGGCTCAGCACTACAGACCTGAGGCTGACCATGACGTGGGCCCCCGAACAGGCAGGGAAATGAGGTGGGGTACCACAGTGAGCACTGAGATGGTTTCCTGTAAAGATGCTGCCAGTGTTTGGTACAGGCGGCCCTGGAAAGAACACTGCTCCCACTCAGTCGCCTGCCTTGCGAGTGCTCTGCAGTCCTCCTGTGGTGCTGTACACTGAGGGCTAGTTTAGGAACTGGCTTCTTCACCTCACGTTAGATGCCAGCATTTCCCAGGGCTGGATGGTCTCACACTTGTGTTTCTGGCACCGGGGAGGGATTTCCCCAAGTGTACAGCAGGGAATGGGCCTTTGAGTGAGAAGCAGCTCCCTGGACCTAGCTGTCAGTCGCAGGAGATTAATTGGCCACTTTCTCATATGTGTTACATGCAAAGATATTTACCATGGGATGCAAAATGGAACACGAGGCAAAGCAGGTATTAGCTCAGCCAGAAGGAGGGAGTAATCAACAGACTTGCTTTTGTTCCTACAGTTTCTAAGCAGTGGAACAATTACCTAACATCGCACCAAGTAATTTGTTAGGCTGGAAAACAGTAAGGGCGTTCATTTGCTCTAAGGCATTCTGGGCTGAAAATAGCAATTCTGAATTTTCATGGCAGACCCAACTTGGAAGCTGGCTCCACTCTGTCCCATCTGATTTTGGCGGTGGTGTCAGAGAATGTTGTTGTAGGCCCATGGCCGGCATGAACCAGGCTGTCAGAGTTTTACAAAAAGGGGAGAAAACAGCAGCAGCAGGGACCTGGTTCCAGTTCTGCGTAGCTGATGGTGATGGGACATTTATTTTTTTCCCTTTTGAAAATAAGCAGAAAGTGATGTGGGTGGAAAATTGTTAGGAGTTCCCAGGGACTGCTAATATTCTGCAGGGCCTTCAAAATGGATTCTGGCGAAAACACAGGTGTTTAGATCAGGGATCCAGAATGTCACCCTTGACTCTCGGCAGCTCTGATCCTGGATGCCTGTGAACTGGGAAAAAACATTCTGTACACAGCAAACATGCTGGGAAGGAGGGGATGGCCTTACACTTCAGGTCTCCGAACAGCGTGCAAGGAACAGCTCCGCTGACAGTCAGAATCACAGATACATTAATTCCAGGAAGGCAAAAGCAAGCTGCATGACCGAGTTGGGAACTGAGGGGAAGGCACTTTGCCATGGGAGCACATCTGTTTTATAATAAGCAGGTCTATAATTCTCCTGTGAAAGAGCATGTTCTACTATCTTCTCTGGGGCTGGAAAATATAAATACTGTATTTCATGAAGGGGAGGAGGAGAGATGATCAAATCTGTTTGCCAAGTGTTTGAGACACTTTCTACCCTTCTTGTTTTGTGTGCGCATTCTTGATAATTTGGGGGAGGGTGCATGAGTGAACCTGCTTTAGAGAGTAAAAGGCACCAATGAGGCGTCTCGTGAACAGGGCCCTGGACTCTCCCCAAGTTTCATGCCTTGGTCACAGCTACTGTAAAACCAGAAAATAAATGCATGCGTGGTGCCGAACTATTAAGTTGAAATATGTGGTTTGGGGCCAAAGGGTTGGGAGGTGAAATGCTTACATTTAACTGCAGGAAAATTATTGTGAAATGTCTCTGAATGGACAGAAGTGTCAGGAGCTGGCCTCTGGAGGCAGCAAAGTGTGGAGCTGCAGGCACCATGTCCTTGATGAGCCACTTATTCCCAGCTCCCAACAGCCACGGGAGGACTAAACCATGAACACATGGACAACATCTGCTCAGTGTGATCGTCTCCTAAAGTCTACTGGGAATTGTTTTGTTATAAGCATGTTCTTCTTTTCTGCAGAGCCAAGCTAGGAGGAAAAGGAGTGATTGGGTTTCCAGTGCTGTCCTACTTGCCACCTCAGTCACGGTCCCTGTTATGCTGGGCTCTTACAGCGATAATGCAGTAGGAGGACATGACCCTGCCAAATAGCAAAGCAGTTCGTTATGTTTCTTATTCCTATATTACTTATAGCATTATTTTGCTTTATGGTGGCAATTATATATGTGTATATCTACTTATTCAAACACTATTAGATGTAATTTATTAATTCTATTCATATTTTCTTGATAGTTTAAAATTGAGATTTTTCAAATTACCCTGATTTTTTAAACAATAAAAAAATGTAACAGACGAGTGGTTAAATTGACAAAGGCCAAAATGAAAGTGCAGTGAAGAACAAGGAGAAAGAAAGCATTCAAAATGACCAGGTAGGGCTACCTACACAGGACTCTGTGAAAGGAAACTGAAGATTGTCTCTTCTAAACTATCTACTCTACCAGTCTATGCACTGATGTCTTTAATGACAATTCTAAGACACTTCCTCAAGCCAACACCATGAAAAAAATCACGAATATCACCCACCACACCCTTGGAAAACTGTTCTGAAGAAAGCCACGTTTACAATGTGGCAGATGTGGTGGAGAGCTGTGTGGTTAGGCAGGTGCTGGGATTTGTACCAGCAAACAGACAGAGGACATGCAGTTATTAGTCACAGAGGCCTCTTCTTTCCTCAGGAGAAAACTCTGAGATTAACTTCAAAACCTCCTCAGTTCAAGGCAAGTGCTTTCTGTCAGCTAGAGCCGCACACTTGCCTCCCCACCATGTACCTCTGCTCCAGAGATCCCCGTCTGCCAGGGACACTAGGGCCTGGAAGGATCCAGGTGTGTTTCTGTGTTTTGGAGATTTCCTTATGAAACAGACAATGATGGTGCCTGCCTCAGTTCCCCCAGCCTCTGTGAAGGCTAAAAATACATAATACAGAAATAACCGAAGCTATGTTAGCCTAAGGGAAATGCTTCCTCTTCTGCTTTGTGTAATAAAAATGGCCCCTAAGAGCCAAAACAGAACAAAAAACTGAACTATAAAGGATTGTATGTAGCAACAAAGCACAGTTCAGTAGGAGCAAGCAGCTGAAGTTCATGGCCAAGTATGTGGGTAGATTTTCAGCCACAGAGGACTTGGTAGACATCGATTTATACAGAACATACGTACGGGACGCATAGGAGTGTATACATACAGATAAATAAATGTAAATCTCTACATCTAGTGGAAGAGGAGACAGACCCTTCTTCTCGGGTGCGAGTGGCTACTTGGGAGCCACTTGGCCACAGGTTGCTGCAGGGTGAGGGCCAGCGTGGCCTGCAGTCAGGTGTTCTGGTAGGATAGCTCAAACATGGTGCACGCCTCCTCCAGGCTCTCGTCCACATTTAGCTGCCGCCAGAAGGACTTCTGCTTCTTCTGCAGCTCTCGTCGGACGCACCTCGGGCAGGGGACAGACTTTTCTTTGCATTCAGCGTGGAAGACGGCTCCACAGCTCTCACACCTGCAAAAGCCAGCCACGGAGATGATGAGCACAAGTGAAGAACAACATACCTGCATGAGGTCAGGGCCCGGTGCAGCTAAGGCACTAGGTTATCCCAGACATCCCTGCCTGTGGGGACACTATACTGGATAATGGGATATTTTCTTTTTCTTTTTTCTTTTCTGTTTTTTTGGTACCGGGGCTCGAACTCGGGATCTTGCACTTGCGAGGCAGGGGCAGAACCACTAAGCTAAATCCCTGGCCCATGGGATATTTTCTTTTTCAAAATGCTCAAGGTTGAATTTCACTTGAAAACCTTTTTAAAAAATTTTTTTTATTGGAAGAAGGCTGGGGAGAGGTACATGGCTTCTGAGAGGAGCTGCCTAGACCTCTGTGATCACAGTGACGGTGGGCAGCACTGGAAGCTCTGTGCCAGTCTCCTCTCTACTGAGAAGGAAGGGGCCATATAACTGGGGTGAGGTGACAGGAAACGAGGATGGACTGCCCGGCCAGACAGAAATCAACCCTCGGCACACCCATGGCGAGCCCAGTGCCACACCTCTGAGAACACGGCTTTCTACTTCAGTTAATGTGAGCTAGTGGCCCTGTTAACTCATGGCCTTTGAGTTTGAGAAGGTAAAATGACACCTTTTCATTCTCTGAAGATATCCTGGGGTCTATTACTCTGTGAGCTTTTTAAAATTTAGGAAAAACTTCCTACCTTTATGAGCCTACCTTTGTAACCTAAGTATGAACAAGAAAGCATCAGAGAGTGGCAAAGAAAAGTATTTTTCCCCAATAACACATCAGATATTATAATTTATGGAGAGGAGACGTTCCAGGTGGATGACTAGTTTGTTGTTCGGCCTAGTGGAAGCCTGCTCAGGAGTCTGAATAGCTTGTTTTTACGGAACAGTTTTTAACGATGACTGACAAGCTCAATGTAGCTGCTGCAGTGAGTCGCTTGCTGATGAGGACTGAGTTCTTATCCTTCCACACATGAGTGACAAGTGACTTTGGTCCTGTCCTAGGAGCCTGCATGACTCTGTCCAGCTAGCAGCATCCAGGGAGTGTCCAGCAATGGACTGGGTTGAAAGAGGGATGCCATGAAAGCAATCCTCACCGGTTAGCCTTGGGCTTCTGTGGCTTTTCCCACAGTACCTCTAGTTTTAATGAGCCCAGGGCACAGGATGTCCTGCGGGTCCTATTTCCTAGCCCACCACTGACTCATGCCTGGCACCATGCAAGGGCCCCCGAATCTGGCGAAAGGGGTATCGTCCCACACATCTCATGCCCTGGAGAGAAGGCAGTGATTTGGCAGGAGAGACGGTAGGGAGTGGGTCCCACCCAGGGAACAACAGACAGGGCCTCCACTGACCCTAGCAGTCCCCATGCCCAGGGCTCAGGGAGAGCAAGCAAGGAGCTTCAGATTGCTTCCAGGCTGGCTGCTATGGCCTGAACTGTGTGGAAGCTAAAGCTTAGTTTGACTATATTTGGAGGCAGGGCATTTATTTGGTACTAGGGTAAATGACATCATCAGGGTGGGGCCCTGATCTGGTAGGCATAGTGTCCTAAGAAGACATAACCCAGAGCTTCCTCTGTTTTTCTGTCCCATGCTTTAGAGGAAAGGCCACCAGCAAGGCAAGGCTCACTGGAAACCAACCCTGCTGGCTCCTTGGTCTGAAATTTCCAGCCTCCAGAGCTGTAAGAAGTCCTTCTCTGTTGTTAAGCCACAAAGTCTGTGGTATTTGGTAGGTGCTCTGGGCAGACAAAACAATGCCCTCAAGCAAGTTACTTCACCTTCTGAACACCAGTTTCTTCATCTGCTCAGTGCAGACAACATCAGCACCCACCTCAGGGGTGCTTGCTGCCGCAGATGAGATCATGGGTAAGGCGTCTGGCATAATTTCTGACACAGGCAAGCGGGCACTGATCCCTCCAGTGCGCCCTGAGGCTGCCTGCTACCTTTCTGGGATGCTTTGCTGTAGCCTGACTTTGCCTACACCACAGCGGTGACCTGGGGACATAGCACTGGCTCCTTTCACAGATGAGAAAACAGATTCTAAAAAGGCTAGTGATTGTCTCCCAGCGACAAAAAGGGGAAGAGTGTTGTGACTGGAACCTGGGTGGCTGGCATGCCGGCTGAGGCTCTTCCTGAGCGCCATGCCACCAGCTGTCTGAGTGAGCTCATGGGCCGCTGTGCGGGAAACAGCATTTTGTGTCGGAACACCTGTGTCAAATCACAAATCTCTCTGTAGCTGAGTGATCCTGGGTAAGTTATTATTTTCTTGGTGCTTTGGTTTTCCTCGTTTGTAACATGCTGCTCATGATGACCTCCTTCTTACTCACTGGGTTGCTGTGAGATTAAGATGAGCAAATACAGGTGAGAGGGCCATGGAAATGGCATGACACCACCCCTCCCAGGCGACTCCAGCCGGCTGCCTTTTTGACATTGGTGCTGTACTGGACCTCTCTGCTGCCTTCTCCTCCTCCAGTGAGTGGAAAGGAAGGTCACACCCAGGTTTCCCAGTGCCTCTAGGCTAGGCCAGCCCTCCACCCCAACCCCCCCAGTGGCAGTGGCTTTGTCCCCCAGGTCACACCTCTGTAACCTTCTATCAGGAAAGTGACACTAATGCTAGCTTTATCAAATAAATTTCCTTCTCTCTGCCCCCTTTGCCCTGCTGTGTTAGTCAGAGATTTATACACCCAGGGATGTTGCCCTAGGGCACTGATTTGATAAGGAAAAACACACTGTGTCTGTCCTTCCAATGCCACTCCCTTATCTCTGCTGATACCAGGCCCTCAGTGAGTGAAGAAGTTGGAGTCTTATCGGGTATTTTTAGTGTTACAAATACTCATAGGGTTATGGAGGGACCAGTGCACCTGCTCTTTCTAGCCAAAGGTCAGTAACTGAAAAGAAGTATGAGATAAAACCAAAATTAATGATTTCAAAATAGAGCCAAGCCCTATTTTCTCACAATTTATAACCCAGAAGACATCTTTTCAACTGTCCTATGGACAGACTGATCAATGACCTTCCCAAATTCAGAGAATCTATAGTTAATTACTCCCCCACCCTTAATTTTCTTTTTAAAGGAAAAGAATCAGAGCAAGAAAAGGAAAGAGAAACTATTCTCTTTACATAAAATTTATGGAACTCTGTAATAAAAATAGAATGCACAGGAAAAACAAAACATTTACATCTAAAAACGCAATATGTAGGTATATTCCAGTTTGAAAATAGAACTTTATTAAAAGGGATTTTCACTTGAGAAAGACTGGCTCCTGAATGTTTCCTAAGTTTTATGATTGTATTCAAAGTATAACTTACCACATAACTTTTTAGGAACACACTTTTCATATAAAGGCAAATCTACCAACATCATCACTCTGCTGGAGCTGCAATAGGTAATGAAAGAGAAATGTCCCTTTGCTGTTCTTTTGTGATACATCAAATGAAAGCCAGGGTCTTCATATCAGAGTTACCTAGTCCCAGCAATAAGCAGTTTCACCACCGACGAGGACATTGTGTCCTCCTACTGCAGTGTCACTCCTATTGACCAAAGTTGCCCAGTGAGTTTTCCACTTTTTTCTTGAGCATATCCATGGCTTTATGTGATCAGGATTCTGTGCTCAGCATTACTGACTTTTGGGTCAGGGAGGTGTTTGAAGTGGAGGCTGTCCAGTGCACTGCAGGATGTTTAGCAGCATCCCTGAATGTCTACTCTCTAGGTGCCAGCAGCATCCTCCCCAGTCCCTTGAGAGTTTTGACAACAAGCCATATCTCCTGATACTGCCTAATGTCCCTGGGGGACAAAAATCATCCCTGTTGGGAACCACTGACCTAATCTGTGTGGAAAAGGAATCACAGAGGGGATATCCAAGGGTACTTAAACAGCACACCCCTCCCCCTGGATTTGTATCACCTGCCGACTTACACTCTTGTCAACAGTGAGGTACAACATAGTACATACTCACTTAACTTGCACAAATATGTACCTTTAACACATTGTTTGATTAAATGAAACTCACTAGCATTAACTATCCAGTGGTTTCTAAAAGTAATTTAGAACATGATTTAAGAAATTGCCACCCAGGCACAATTCTATGCGTTGCTCAGTCACTCCTTAACTATCAACTCGCTGAGTTTGCATTTCTTCCCGAAAGCTCTCAGGGTTTGGCCCTCAGTCGACTTTATTTGCCCTTTGGCCAACACTCTCTGGGCCATTCTTCATGTCCTACCCAGGCTTCATGGCAAATCAAAGGCACACACTTTTGCATATGCTTCAGAATAGATTGCTTTTGTGCAACTGTGAGGTACTTAAGTTTCGTCAACTTCTACAGTGAAACATTGCAGTAAAACATTCACAAGGTCTCTCCCCATACAGGAAGATCTCTACTGTGAGGTTGGCCCTAGTGTCAGGGGGACTCTGGGTAATTTACTTCATCTTTAAGCCTCATTCTCTACAGAAGCAAATGAGGTTGAGTTAGATGATATCTAAGGTCCTTTTAACTTGCAGATTTGGGGTAGGGGAAAAAGCTACTCTGGGTTGTAACCTCCTCTCCAAATTTCCTTGGTCCAAGGTCTGTGGATGAATGAGTGTATCTGTTGCTTGCTGTCTCTTCCTTAGAAAGTCTCAAATTGTCAAGGTGGGACTGAATGAGACGAGTTTTAAAGTGTGATACATTCCTTTGAATTTTATTTGTATTAATCAAGCTATAAAATAACTATGAATTAGGATACACAGCATTATCAGGAGTTTGGCCAAAAAGAGCTCACTGCCTCTACCTCATAAAATTTCAATTAGACATAAAGGATTTGTTTTAAGCCTTCTCTCATCCCAGCTATCATCAGTACCTATTGTCCTCAAGAACTGTTAAATGTGGGTTTTGGGGGAGGGGGCAGCTAGAAGAAGTAGGCATTTTCAACCCTATACTGAAGTGTTTTGTGTTTGAATCACTGGTAGAGCCCCACTGGAGTGAACTGAGTGTGTGTCAGTAAGCACTGGACACACCATAGT